AATGTTTCTGAAGGATACCAAGCTAGAAATTGTCAACAAAGTTTCTGAACAAGGGAGTTTGACAACCGATACATTAAACAAGGCTTTAGGCTTCTATACATTTGAAGCACCATGCTTCAGCTGAGAAAATATATAGTATTTGTATTTTAGGCAAATAATAAACTAAAATGCAATAATTAGTTGAGCTGATTTGTATAATACAATAATATAAAATAACGTGATAAGGTAAAGTAAACAAAATGCTAAGCTGTTGCACATTATACTAAACAAGAATCTCTTCGTAAAGAAAATGTTTATATAAACAAAATGTTTCATTATTGCATTACGTACGTAAAATATTTAAACTAAAATCTAAAAATGATTTCTTTTCTTACACATAAATTAAACTTGAACTAATTTGTCTTTAATTTCAACATCTTCATAAACAGGAATACACAAATGATTGGATGCATTTCTTGTTGTTTTTTAGTGAATAATCACACATTGGTAAGTTAATCAATAGTCTGACCTTTCTTAACAAGTGACCATTCAGAATAGGCCAAGGAATATGTGTGTATCACAAACACATGTGTTGTCGTTTTGCGGGACCTTGGCAAAGATTTCAAAATTGGGGGGGGGGGGCTTTGCCGAAAGGTCCATTAGTGTGAACACATCTACAATATAATTTATGCAAAAGTTATTAAAAATAATGCTAGATCTTTCTAGACATAGCACACGGCAAAAATTCTTACCGGAAATAGAGTATGGGACGCCAATTAAAATTTGCAATGATTTGCAACCATGTGCAGCATCACTGAGTGCAATAAAAGGATTATATTTCATAGAATTCACTGAATAACCCAAATTAAGGTATGGAACGCAGGCTAGACGGAGGTATACTCAGAAGGAGGCCTGTACCAGACATGACGGCATTTTAAGACCCCAATAAGTTATACTAAGCACTGTTCTTAAATAAAAACCTCTCTTAAATAGGTACTGCACTGAAGCCTAAAAATATTATAAGGACAGCAGTGCATATTTGGTACTCTATAACACTATTAAAAATAATACAGTACACAGTATTAATAGCAATATACAGTACTACAGTAGTAATAATAATTTAAAAAAATATACTATTCAATATTTAATATTAAACAAAATAATGAGCGACTTCAGATTCAATAACCAAATAACAGATATTATAACAATTCAACAATAAATTCAACATATAATATTAAACAATATAATAACTACGAACAATTTAATGACATAGAAATGCCAAAGTATATTAACATTACTTTATATACACTTAAAGCATGCTGTTACCATTTTACTACCATGTGCAGCATCAGTTATACTATACATTAATATTACTCACATATAAGTTAAAGGTATTGATTATTCACTATACAGTACGCTATTCTAAAATCATGTGATTTGAACTCAGATGATACTATGGCGTAACATTTTTGGTGATTGAAACAAAGAAAAAACTTATTAAGCAAAGTGCTGCCCAACATGTCTTCTCTATTTTGACGAATATGTGTTTTATATATTTACGTTACTCTAAATTGTCTGCAAGAACAGCCATTAAAAATGTCTGAAGATAGAGAATAATTAATACATATTAGGTTATTTTTCAATTTTTTTAAGTGTTCATTTGAACATTTGAAACAAACTGTGCGATGAAAAACACGTAACGTGTGAGCATGGCAGAATTTTGGAGGCAAAATAACACTCATATCCGTAGGGGTCTCCAGACCCTTGCTAGTCAATGTAGTATCCCAGAAATCACCATTGTCTCCCAGACTCCTGAAAGCAAGTAAAAATCTCCCAGAAACTAACCCATCATACGTAAATATTTACATCCTTTTACTACTGAATTATTGATTAAGTTTAAGTTAGTAAATGTAGTTTAATAATGTGTTAGTGCTCATTAAATAAAAAATTTCCAGAATTGGCTTCTCCAAATTTGGGACCTCTGTTTCTATCTTGACAAGTTATTGTAATAACATTCTTATAAACAACTCTATAATATATAGATTTAAACTGGTATTCATTTACCAATGAAAGCATGGAAAATCAAAAGAAAAATGTACATTTGTTTAGATAAACTGAGAATTGTTTAAGCTACTGAAGTTACAGGTGATTCGCTTGTAGTCAGACTGTTCCTAGAATCTTTACAATCACATGGGCAGCTACAGTTGCATGAGCAGTTTGTGCAAGAGACCGGTAATCGCTCCCTCAGTAGTTCCGAGTCAAACGAAGAAATGGAAGGGAGATCATCAGGTATCTGGGAACTCTGTTGTCCCTTCTGGTGCATTAGATCATTCATGATTTCCTCAGCGAATCTGTTCAGAGTGCTCTGATTGTCTTCTCCAGAACGCAAGTTATTTTCCTGCGAAGTTGATTGATTGATTGCGTCAGGCATGATGTAACCGGAATCGTAGACGCTAGCTGACGTTACAGCTCCTACTAACCCTACATTAGATACAGAACATATTTCATTCGAAGTTAGAGACGTCGATGCTGAGGACACAAGCGTATTCATTGCGCTCACCAAATCGCTCTGTCTGTCCGGATTCTGGAATATGCTAGCTGGAACCTGTACTTGTTCGATGTTGGAATGACCCGGCGAATTCATTGTATCAACACTTGGATTCTCCATTGTGTTTTGGTTGTTCTTTGTGGCTACAATATTGTTAGCTGGATTTGTTTGTAATCCCAAAATGTGTTGATGCTGATCAGTACGACAAATGCCTGAAGGTACAGAGCTCGATGCCGCTGCTTGTACGCCAGTTACTATTTGAATCTGTGGTTGAGTTGCATGGCCGTGACTGCACACACCCGAGTTACCATTAACCTGAATTACGCTTCCTCCATTTTGGACCTGTATCACCGGTGTAGTCTGGGGTTCGGCGGCCATGCTACAGCTTCCGGGCGTTATGATGAGCTTCGTTGGTGCAGGACCATTATTCAGCTGTATCACGATGCTCTGCGATTGGTTTGTAGTAGATTGTGCATTGCTCAGTACAATTTGAGGTCCTCCTTGCACTTGAATCGCAGGCGCTGCAGTATCTCCTAAAGAACATAAGAAATTTGCGTATCAGATTTGTGACTCATTGGAAGTTGATAACATTATTTGATTATTTTGATGCCATTTTTTGATGTCGTGGTTAAGACACCAGGCTAGTTATATGGAGGTCATGTGTTCAATTCCACCCAAATCACTTGCAAGATGTTTTTTCGCAACCATTGGGGACGTACTGAGCATTCAGTAAGATAACACGTCAGGTAAGGCAAACATCATTCGTATTATTTGATATTTTTGCATCTTTGTGACCCCTTTCTTGTATTATCCAGTGAACTGTCTTTCTTTTTCTCGCCTATGATAGCCTAGTTAGATGCCAAAACCATCGGAGCCCTAAGTCATGATCTTGCTAACTACAGCGCCTCTCATTGCACAAAAACAGTGCAATGGTTTTGGTTCCCTGCACTAAGTTTTTGTGGTTTCCCTATTTTTGATCAATTTTATGACAGTCTGTTAATCTCTAATTTGAATCTCTTTTCAATATATGTTCAGCTTGCATTTTGATTACTTGGACATGGCGTTTTGAGAACTTGTTTATTTGTGGCTTATAAATCTACCTATTACTGTATTATCATTATTATTATTCAGTGTTACATGAATATAAAGGTTTAGCAGGTAGGCGTGCATGTTTCTTGGTATAAATACCTGTATATTATACAAATATAATTAATTAATTTATTACATCTTCAGATGTAGGTCTGCCAACTTTATAACTGAAGGATTACTGGATTCTACAACTTGTTCTTCAAAAAAATGTATTTCATGTTTAATCTCTTTTTATTTCTTTCAAACATCCCTGAACATCAACTATTCAAACTTTGACATTACCCAAAAACTTTAATGTAGAGGAAATATTAATAATCATATTAAAAATTTACTATAATTATTAATAACATAATATTAATTTTGACCAATATTATTATATTAACAATATTCAAATTATTTTTTAATTATCATTATTTTTATTATAATACTGTCAACATAATTTTTTTAACATTAAAAATATTAATATCATCAACTATCAAAACATACCTGATAATGGCACTGTGATAATCATATTAAAAATTTACCATATAATTATTAATATTATAATATTCATTTTTAGCAATATTATTTAATATTAAAATTATTTGTTTAATTATTATCATCATTATTATTATAATAACATTATATTGCTTAAAGTTTTGCATGGCGAAGAAATAATATATATGTTGAAGCTTGCGGTACACCACGTAAGTAGTTCTGAAAAGAACTGTTGTAGTTGAGAAAGTCTCGACGTTTCGATTGAGTTGCTTCAATCGTCTTCAGACAAACACATTTTATTGGACAAAAGCATGTGAGATGCCTAAATATAATCATGCTGACATCACATCATGACCATATAGGCACATGACTATGGACATACGCCAGTTTAGGCAGAGCTTAAGAAGGTGAACTGAAAGATGTAAAGTTATAAATGACTAATTTTTAAATGTTAATTTATTCATTTATTTAGGTATAGACACAGCAAACACTTTTTTATGAATCTATGAAGCCTTATAAAGGAATATGCTTTACATTAAAATTAATTTTTAATTTCAACCATTTATTATGAAATAAATATTAACTTTAATAAATCAGTAATATTCAGTGATTTATGTTTAAGTGCTTAATTAATAATCCACCCAGCCTTGAAATTTTGTAAACAGTCTAAAGTTAATTTCATGGCCCTCCACCCACCTATTAACCCCATTGCTTATCCTTAAAATACACACTTATTATTTACCAACGTTATCTTATCACCCACCCACTCTTAAAATGTCTACGACACACCCTTAGTTTTCTACAAGTACAGTACAGCACAATCGCAGGTATTTAAAATTTTAAACAATTATAGCTATATTTTATAAAGAATGTACAATAAACAGAGAATAAATTTAAAAAATTGTGGGCATTATTGGACGCACTATCTAATTTTACACGGACAGTAAGTAACATATGTGTAAGTATTATACAGACAACTTACATCTTCTTGATCATCTTTGCCTTTGTTGTGTCCTTTCTTGTGATTTTTCAAACTGTAATGCGTTGTAAATGTTTTTTGACATCCATCCTCTGCACAAGCAAATGGTTTTTCTCCTATAAATCAATTAATCAATAAAATATTCAATCAATAAATCATAAAATCAAACCAATAAACCACCAAATCAAATGCATACTGAAAGTAGCCTCTATGGCAGAATTGTAGCTGTTGGGCGGGGTAGAAATTTTAAGTTGGGTGATTGATAACTTTGGTTAGGCCTTATAAAAAATATTATTAGTTTATCACCCTATCTAGGCTGGAAAAGTGATGAAGAAGGGAGGCTTTTTTTTAAAATTATTTATTTTGCTAAAGCCAAATATCACCCTTGGGTTGTTTGCTGGTGCATTGATATTCAAAGTAAAACATGATTGAGATAATACAAACAATATTTACTAACTATTAATATAATTTTTAAAAATTTTAAAAAATTTAAAAAAACAATTTTTTTTCCCCCAAAAATATTATTTTGTCAGTACCATAGAAGACATGTGCACGAGGGTGATAAACTAATAATCCATTTATTGGGCCTTAACTCTATAAAAACGGATTTTAAGGATGGGTTAATAAAGGTGGTTGGACGGCCACAAAATTAGCTTTTGACTTTTAACTTCAAGACTGGGTGGCCCACCTACTGTACCTCTACTATCCCTGCTGTATGGGCGAATAAGATTATTGTAAAACAAATTTCAAAATAAAGAAAAATCAGTAAACATAAATTCAAAGGGTATATCAACAATTACATGAGTCAACGAACTGTGTTGACTACAAACCCTACAAAAACAGAAATAAAATCAAAAAAATAAAAACCTCTGTTTTCAATCTTATTTTAAATGGGAAGACCCTACATACTTTACAATCAAAGCAATTAAAATACTGAATATTAATGTTCATTAAGTTTATATCCAGGCTGTCAAATTATCTTCTAAATAATAAATATTTAACATTATTATTGTTATTATATTATCAAAATAAAAACAGTTTCTAAATAACCTGTATTTTAAGCAGATTTGAGGTTCCTATGTGGATAATAGAAGTGCTTTGTAACTGCGAGGAGAAGGCGCTATATAAAAGACCATTATTATAATTATTTACTGTATTACTGTACAACTACTATTAATCAATATTGTCAAATAGACTAAGGTCAGAATAGGCCAAATGAGACACCAAAATGTAGGGTTACACAAATCAATGGTGATGTACTTGGCGATTTAATACACTATGCACAAAACACAATATGACTTTCTAAAAATAGACCAGAATATGCATCTGATTTTAGATATGAATTTTGAACTAAGTGCTAAATGAGGAAGTACTGAATAAATTAATTTGAATGACTGCTGGATTTGTAGTATGGATTAAATTGAAGTTGACACTTTACAGACTGGTATTTCAAAATAAAATGGCTAATTCAAGAATTCAATTTGTAACCAGGGCAAGCCTACTGTAGGATAAGATATTCATATAATAAAGACAAGTACTCAAAAAGTGGAAAAGGGTAGTTAGAGTACATCCTTTTTAAATAATTCAAAAATCTGTATCTCATTAACTGTTCTTTTTCGTCAAACACCATATCACATTTCTTCCCCCTTCAGAGCCTACAGTAGCTTTAAGGCAGCTTTTAAAATTTAATGTTAGCTATGAATTACCTAGGTTGTTCAAATTAGCTGGTACTACATATCTAACATTAATTTATTTCTAAGTCAGAATTAGCAGTGCATATTATTAATTGTAAACATGCATATTCTGTAGAGGCCACCAAATAATGCACGACAGGAGCAAAAACTAAATGTATGTTTAAAAAACACAAATACATTATAATAAATTATTTTGAAAACAATGTCACTTGATTCAATACCTACAGTGTGCAGTTTCTGTACTAATATTATTAATGAAAATTTAAGTCATACTACAATGAGCATCAAAAATCATATAATTCATATTTAAAATTTATTAGGCTAATTTATGGGTATGTTGTTATCTAATCATTTACTATGTCTGTTTCTAAGTCTAAAATATGAAATAAAAATGTAAAAAATCTATAACATGTACTTCTGATAAAAACTACCAACATCTATTGTTTGAGCTTTGTTAAATTAAATTCTGATATTTTTTTTGTTTACGTTGCGATCAACTAAGACGAGAATTGGTTCTAAAGAATGATCATTAATTAATTATGTTAAAAAACATATTTTTGTATATTTGTTTGTTTTCCATTGATAATTGAATAAATGTAATTTGATTCAGCCAAGGTTTATTTTATAATAAAATTTAATATTACCTGTATGTGTACGCACATGTGTCTTGAGGTGATGACTTGCATTAAATGCTTTTCCACAACTTTCAAAATCACATCTAAAAGAACAATGATAAAAATAAATACCAGGCTAATACAGGCCAGTAACCAGATTCATGGTAAGGGGTGGGAGGGGGAAGGGGCAACCCAATATGTAGGCTCTACTAGCTCATCAATTCAATCCACTTAAATATCAAGTCCTACAAAAAATTTTGGACACCATGGGCAAGGCGAGACTTTGTTTATACATTTATTTTTTTTACAGATCATCCGAAGGTGGTAAAAAAAAGAAAATGTTTTTTCATTTAGCAAATGGCTTTGCCAAAAACATGCAGATGGAAGAGAAAATAAAAATAAAATTATATTGGTGAATGTTAACAGTGTAGTAGGGGATAGTTAAATGCTTTAAATTTATTGGAGATTTTTTTTGATATTTCATTGCAGCAGCGGGTGTAATAAAAATAAAGAAAACTTTTATTTTTTTTAGAAATTTCCATTTTTTCATGGCAGTGGGTGTGGGTGTGCTAATTGGCAAAAAATAAATTTTTATTTTTATTCAAAATCGTTATTTATGGTTGGTGGCAGGTTTGCTAAACAAGGTATTAAAAAAAGGTCTCGCCTAATACGGTATTTCTGTTGGGTTTGGGACTCATTTACAGAGCACATAGAAGGGTTTGAAAAGTAAGTGTTTCTCAACTGAACATTATATTTTACAAAACTTTTATTCATTATATTAATAATAGGAAGGATGGCCAAGTCAACTACGCATTGAATGCCAATGACTCTAACATATAATTACTGTAATTGATAATTACAGTACAAGTGAAAATAAGAAATGTGAATAACACCAGGGAGATGTAAAAATAAAGACGAGCCAAATCAGTAACTCTCAATGCAAATAGTGTTTCGGAGATACTGTAATGGCCAAAACATGTTGGAATCAAAACTTTCAAAATTTATTTTATTGCAATAAACTGAACTACATACAGTATCTATACATTATGCTATGTTGTTATTTTTGACGTTAAAACAACATTTTAAAAACGATTTCTGGATGGTCTCTACATGAGAAATATTCGAAATCATAAACTTTGAAGACTCAAATACTGTTCTTTAAACAGTTGTGTATATTTGAACTCTTCTAACTGCATACCTGTAATAAAATGTCTGATTTAAATTATTCTTTTACCATATAACTTTCATTTTACTGTTTAATCCTGTACTAATAACTAAATGTTTTGTGAAGTGTGACTGGGTTAGGTTGTCTGTTTCACAAATATATTTCCATGAAACATTGCAAAAAGTCATACCTTGCTACAAATAAAAAATTTAATCAATTATTTATTCATGAAAACAATTACAAAACAAAACAAACGTTTACTAACAAAAATTTAATAGTAGTTCCTGGGAAGACTCAAAAGCAACATAATGCCACTACCATCATCAATTAATTGATGTGAACCTCCACCTACAAATTACTTACAAAAAGATTAAAACTTAATTTTTTACTATTGCACACACATTAATTAAAGATTGCCTAATTAAAAATAGAAAAAATACAAAATTACAAATTACATTTATAAAAAGTAGTAAATAATATGATTATTGATATTGTTTAAATAAGTCCAAATAAAAAAAATAATTGTGTTGGCCACATCCAACCGACCCAAATAAGAAATTCAGGTTCAGCATTTTAGTTCTTTTTTTTTAATGAGCTAAAAAGGCTGGAATAGGCCTATCTTGCTGGATGGTAGGAGATGCGACAGTCTTAAGCGATCGTTTTGCTCTTTAATATAAATTTTGTTCTTTTTGTTGTATACTACTTTTTGGGCATAAACACATTATTGGTCTAAAAAAAAAAAAAAAAAAATCCTACCAACATACCATTTTTTTTTTTTATTTTACCAAAACGTGACCATTTTTTTTTAAATTTTACCAAAACGTGGCCAACACAAGAATTTTTTTTTGTTGGCCTAATACTACTGTATTTAAAAAAAAGTATCTTTTTTAGCAAAATCACTATGAATTAATATTTTAATAAACAAATTGTAATTTAATAAACTACAGTAGGCCTACATACAGTAATTTATAAAATAGTAATCATTTTAAGAAAGTAATAAAAAATAATATAAAGAAATTTTTAGAAACCTTTAAAATTGATGTAACTTACTTGTAAGGTCTTTCTCCTGTATGAATTCTGATGTGTTTCCTAAGATCACTCAATGTGGTAAAGAACTTTGTACACCCTTCAGAATCACAGTTAAATGTGTTACCTTGATGAAGGCGCTTGTGGGCCTTCAAACGATAAAGTGTATTAAAGCTTTTGGTACAGTTCTGTTCTTCACAAGAGTACGGTTTCTCCTTTGTATGAACACGTATATGAATTTTCAGGCTGTACGAGGTTAGAAAAGCTTTACCACAGCCTTTCTCTTTACAAATAAAGCTGTATTCGCCAGTGTGTGTTTTATGGTGAGTTTTGAGATTGCCTGCCGTACTGTATGAACGTTGACAGTTTTGGTATTGACACTCATAACGTTTAAATTCTCGCATTTTTGTATGTGGGTTATCATTTTCAACAGTTAATGTTGCACCATCGATGTTCTCTGAAATTGGTTCAAATGACCTAATCTGCATTTGGATCTGATCATCTGATATTGTGTGATGTATAAAGCCACTGCTTTCACCGCTGACAGTGACTGCTTTAGATGTACTACTTTGGTCAAAAGAACCTAGGCCTAGACCTTCTTCTGCTGAAAGGCCATGGTGAGGCGTCGAACTACGATCACGGTCCTCATCAAGATTGGCTGGACCACCGAGATAATCGACAGGTTCACATTCTATGAAAACTGATGTTTGGTCGAATGTTTGTCCAACATCGAATCGCATTTCATCATTTAGAGCCTTATTTTCATCACTACTACTGTCTTTTGCCATCTTTTAATTATTTAAGTTTAGGCTCTTAAGCCCAGCTATATTGAATAAACATGAATTATGCTAGGCCTGGATGGCGGATCCGTACGTCTCGTGTTTATCTACTACACCCGGCCGAGTATGCCCTGAATACCAGAGTTGAGTAGAGTTTAGTACTACTAGTGGTGTTTAGTGGCCTAGCGTACTGTTCAAAAAAGAAACTTTGTTCGTCCTTATGACTGAATTTTTTAGTCTTTTTACTTTATAGCTTGCACCACTTATCTTTCTTCGTAAGATTCTTGACGATTCTTCTTATGTCGAATGGTATATGGTAAATCCTAAACTTGTATGTATTTTGTTTGCTCTGTAACACACAACCTCGAACTTTTAGTGTGTGGAGGATCGAGCCTAGCCGTCAAGTTCATGATCGATATCAGCTAGCTAGAGTTCATAACGTGACAATGGAAATCGTTTTCAAAACACAAATCAAAATTTTATATATTTATTACACAAATTTTAAGAAAAACATTAAACTGATTTACCACCCCACCAACCATTGACAATGGCCTATATTAATTATCCTTATGTTTTAATATATAATTAATTTATTATAAGAAAAAATAATAAGTCATGTGCTAAATTGAATTGTATTTTAATCATAGGTAGGAGAGAAACTATGTTTAAAATATATATCATTTATATGAACTTAAACTTTCTGTTCATTAGTGTTGTATTTTGTAAACCGCCTTTGAAGCAAGAGCGCAAAAAGAGGGTGGGGGTGGTAATAGTACAGTACCTCTATGGCCGGAAATGACGCTTGATAGAGTAAAATTCTTCATCAGTCTGACTATGTACAGTACTCCTTCATTAAATCCTGGGTTATATCCAGTTAATTTCAAGACATCTTCTTCATTTACAGTATATGAAAATTACATTGCGGTTGAAAAGTGGGGGACCAACCCTTCTTTAAAATATGTTAGGGGGACGTGTCCCTCTGTACCCATTGATCTGTGCCCATGCTTTGTAAGGAAAACAGTAACTCATAAATAAGTGTTCCTATTGTTATCCGGTCCTTTGGTCATTTTTTTGTTACCCCTATGCCTTTTCCACTTTTGTTTACACTACAAAAAATGGTCAAATAAATATTGAAATTGAGACCTACTCAGATTTATGTCATTTGGCTTTAACGCTTTTTTTATTCTAACTTTTAATTGAATAATTTATTTAATTATATTGATATAGAAGGTAAGAATTCAAACCTTGCATTGAATTTCGGGGGGTTTTCAAGGCTTTTGCTCATGATCAGATGTGATATACCCTTTTGTTCTATAAAAAATCCAGGAAAACTTGCCGTCAATAGATACAGCAAAAATTTAAATACAGTAATTAGAGGGAATCAGGAGTTTTGTATGATTGTGTCACTGAGGGTCTTCCTGCCATTATGGATGCATCACATACAATTTTTCTCTTTCAGTGTTTATACAACAAATTATAGTTCAGTACCCCATTTGCACACTCAAGATAAAAATTGAATATTATTCAATATGGGATGCATGCCTACAGTATGTTACGCCATGAGGACCGTGGTTTCACACTAATTCCTCCATGGTTACACAGCTACCTATTTTCAACATGTCTAAGAACTCCAGCCAAAATATTAACTGAATTATAATATTCCCTGATTGTCTTAAGAGACAAAACAATATAATATTAAATTAATATTAATGATTTTACATTTAGGTCTACTACATATTTCAACTTAAAAATAGGTATCTGTATTCAAGCTGGTATTAGCTTAATAAGAACATTCTTTTTTTTTCAGTACAGTATGTATTTTAGATGTAACAGCACTGTATGTTGTGTTATATGAATACAGATGCTATAAAAACCGTAAACTAGAAACCTTATTACACGAAAGCTTTCTGTCATCTTCAATTCTCTCAAGGCCTTTTTATAGTTTTAAACATAACTTTATTCTCTTTTTTCATTGTTTTCCAATAACTCTTTCAGAAATATAAAACATTTCATGATTTGTTAATAAAATACATTATATAAAATAAGGACATGTAATTATGTTTCTTAATAAAACACTCGATTACTGTTGATTATTATTGATCAAATAAATTGATATGGAATCTGTCCCTGATAAACTTTGGTTTTTGCAGACATATACAAACAGTAATGTTCATGACATTTTAAATGAATTTGGTGGACATACTTTTATCATGTGATCCAACAATCAAATTTGTTCTTGACCTTAAATTTATTGGTATTTTGAATTTATATTTAAACATTTTGAATTAGCTACAAAATATTTTTATATTATCTTAAGATCTTTTATTCCTAGATTATTTTTTTAATATTACCAGTTATTACTGTACTGTTCATGTTGCATCTTAGTAGTTGAAACATTATACTTTCTAGTAAAAAATACAGTTTTAATATTGTTAAATGACTAACAGGCCGAGTCTGGTCTAACATTTACCTGATACTTTGGTTTTATCTTGTGGATTAGAAACGACTGTCTTATTACATACTGGATTAAAATCTAATTATATATTTAAAGTAGGCCCATAACATATCATGTTCATGTGCTGTACAGTATTTGGCTCTTTTTATTACACCCATTCTTTTCTTTTGTCTAACCACCGTACCCATGCCAACCTAATCAATACCAATCCCAAAAATCCCAATAGCAGATTAAAAAGCGCGCGAAGTAAATTACAATTTACATACCGTGCCTTTATTGGATCGTACAATAATTGCTTTCACTGTGATTGGTCAATTTCTTACGCAGCTGAAGCCAGGAAGTGAGTATAAATACATGGGGCTAGCGCATGTTTATCATTCTTCAACGCAGTTTTGATTGTTGTGTAGTAGTCGTAATTTGTAAACAGATCTCTGAATAAAAATGTCTGGACGTGGTAAAGGAGGCAAAGCTAAAGGAAAGGCTAAAAGCCGATCAAGTCGTGCAGGGCTCCAGTTTCCAGTAGGACGTGTTCATCGTTTCCTGCGTAAGGGTAACTATGCTGGACGTGTTGGAGCTGGTGCACCAGTTTACATGGCCGCTGTGCTTGAATACCTGACTGCTGAAATTTTGGAGTTGGCAGGCAACGCTGCCCGTGACAACAAGAAGAGCAGAATCATCCCCCGTCATCTTCAGCTCGCAATCCGTAACGACGAAGAGCTGAACCGTCTTCTCGGAAGTGTAACAATTGCACAAGGTGGTGTCCTGCCAAACATCCAGGCTGTGCTTCTACCAAAGAAGACCGCTGCTGCAAAGGGAAAAGGCGGCAAATCTAGCCAGAGCCAGGAGTTTTAAAGGTTGTTCGAGAACTTTTCAAACCAAACGGCCCTTTTCAGGGCCACCAATTGAACAGAAAAGAGATTTGCAAAGTATTATTTCTGCAGACTATGCAGTATTATTAATATTTTCTTGGGACAATAAAGTCGGACTACTACTTAGGCCTAGGAATTAGGCTGGCAATTAATTAACGTTGATGGATTTTTGTTTTGTTTGATTCGCCCAATAAGATGAATGTGCAATTTCGATTTTCAAAGTGTTTTAATAAAATGTGTATCTTTTATTTTGTTTAAATTGGTCTGTTTTTAAATATTGGATTAGTATTTTTAGTGTTTCCAAATGCCATGTGCAAACATTGATGATGGAATGTTTCATTTGTCTCGTAGAACTAGGGGCCTAGACTTTGCTGTTATAATTTTTTTCTAGCCCAAGGCCTATATTCATTAGACAGGAACTACCGTTCATAATCAATGCTTTTGCATGGCACTTAGTGGCAGAAATGTTGGGAGGAGCAAGGATTGATGGACGACTTAGTGCAACTCATGCAGAGCCAAGGAATCCTTTTGACAATGCAACTAGACGCAGTACAGTACTAAATTTTTGTCCAGGAGCTAATAATACAATAAAATAAAATTACAAATACCTGTACATAAAAAAACAAAATGTACACAAACAACAATAATAAAATATACAGTACTGTACTGTAAAAACCTTTACATTTATTGTACAGTCAGCAGGGCAAACCTAGGACAATAACTCAGCTGGGAATGGGCTACATAATGCACACCCTCTGGGTAGGAAAAGTGATGAGGGAGGGAGGATTTTTTTAAAATTTTTCTAATATCAGTATCACCCTTGTTGTTTGCTGGTGCATTGATATTCAAAAGTAAAACATGATTTAGATAATGCAAACAATATATACTAACTACTGTATTTAATAAAATTTAAAAAAAACCTTTTTTTTCAAAAGATTAATACAGTAGTACCATAGAAGACATGCACGCAGGGGTGATAAACTATTAATTTTTAATATTGGTCCTTACGCACAGTACATTTCAATTGAATTAAAAACACTTCTAGATGTAGGCATGGACCTATTAATACAGTAGGTCCATGATATAGGCCTACTACTGTACCAATGATGAGAATACACCCCCTTATAAAGCTGGTACTGTTTAGGATTACTAACTCCTCCATTCACTGAAAATTTGCTGTCTAGAGAAAAAAATAAGTATGGTACAGTAGTTAAATCTCCCCGAGCCAGCTTTCTAGCTCAAAAAGGTGCCAAGGCTAGACTTTCGTTGGTTTTTTTTTGTTGGTGTTTGTTTCTTTTTGTTTAGTACCTTGTTTCGTGAAGTTTTTAAAAAATTGTTGGGAGGAGGGTGAAAAAAAAAAATAAATATAAAATTTTGTTTTTTATTTAGTAAATAGTTTTGCCAAAAAACATGGAGATGGGGAGAGAAAATAAAAATAAAATGTTATTGGTGAATGTAAACAGTGTAGTAATTGGATGGTTAAATGCTGTTAATTTATATAATTAGGAAGAAATATACATACAGTATCTTGTTTTTAGAGATTTCAAGGCAACAGCCGGCATAATAAAAATAAAGAAATTTTCATTTTTTGCAGCCGTTGGTGCACTAATTGACCAAAAGTAAAATTTTATATTTACTGTATTCTAAACCGTCATCATTAGTAGGCGGTGGGTTCGCTAAACAAGGTACAAAAAAGTATCGCCTAACCACCTCATCTCGAAATACCCAAGTTGAACAAATCTAATTAACAATGGCAGAAGTTTCCGTGGTCCCATTTCAATGTTCTTTTATTGTCTTTAAATACTGTAGTTTTTTATATTGTCTCAATGTCTTAATACTGTAGTAAAATAAGTAGTTTTTATGTAAATTTTGTGTATCTTTGTACAGTGCTTGTAAAATGAATTTAAACCTTCGCTGTTATACAACTTACAAACAAGTACAGTATTGTAATACATACACTCCTACCACTAATTCTAAATTAAAGTTTAACAACTGATAAAAATAAACAAATAATGAGCAATTCTATAGAAACCAGGACAGGCAAAACTGAAAAAACAGTCACTAAAAGATGTGCCTGTGAACTAGAATTTACAAATTTTCTTAACCAATAAATCAATCAACAAACAATGATTTATATAGCCAAAAGCATACCAATAAACATGCAAGTTCTACAAACTGGTTTTTTTTTTTTGGTTTTTTTTTTTTTCATTTTTATTAGAAGATCTTTACTCAAAACCAAAGCTTGTCTAAACCTCCAACTTATATGCGAGAGGGCGCAATTTCAAAATACTGTAAGTTAAAAATATTAATTTCACATGTCATTATGGAACCCGCAGCGTATTTTGGCGATGTTGTAACGCAAATTTCACGTGCCGTCGATGATGATGAGGAAGATTGTCAATTGGATGAATCCTTACTGTAATTATATTTATTTTCAATATGTTAAACTGAATCAAAACAAGTTTATGAGCACTGTTTATGTCTAAGCCTGGGCACTTTGATCGTGTAGCCAAACAAGCCCTGGACATGATGTCCGCCTGTGATCAGGTGGGCCACATGGGAAAGGATGTTGTTGTTAGGGCTGGGCTTAGGCCTAGTTGTTGTAGGGTAAATAAAAGTAAAATAGATCCTGAGCTTTTTTTTTTTTTAAAGTTATAGATATATTTTCTTATCTAGGCCTAGTTCGATCTCACATTTATGGAAAATAACTTTTTTAAACTTCACTTATTTTTTCCTTTGAACGATTTTGATTGATTAATATCTGAAAAATGTAGTTTTTGAAGATCGATAGACATAGGCCTATGTTTTGTTTTTTTTATTTGGGCAGATATTTAAATGTTAGAGTAGTACTTCTATAGGCCCAATGTAAATTAATTTAATTGCACACATTATACCTAAAAAACTAGTTCAAATTATTTGCATTGAAAATTGCTAGGTAAATAGGTGCACAGAAACGTAATCGCTGCATATACATTGGTTTACTTAGAGATAGGTCAAATGATAGACAGATTTCTATGCCTAATTTTTTGCATACGGTAGGTCGCTGGTCTTATTATACAGTCTTGTATAGCCTGCCTGGGCTATACCTTTATGTTGTGTGTGAAGTTGCATAGTAAAACATATATTTTAAGATATTGGACATTTTTTTTTATTTCAAAAAGCTGATTAATTTTATTGTGTGATTACATTTGTTTATTTGCAGACCTGTGTTGAGGTGGTGTCCATCCATAAGGCAACAGCTTGAAGCCTCTTCAACCAAGTGTCTCAAGTGTAGTATCCTAATGGTTGCAGTTGGAGCAGAAGCTGTTGGTTAGGCCCCAGTCATTTAATCTATTTTATCATCATCATTAGTTATGAGAAGAGAGGGATTTTTTTTTTGTACAGCAGTAGTAGTTTTGGGCTCTCAGCCTTGAGAGCTCAAAACCCAGTACATTTTGATTGGTTGAGAAAGCACTATATTTGTCTTTCATCCTGGAGTAAAAATGGGTGACTTGTACAATGTTGTGGCATTGAATGCACCATACCGCAGTTTGTTTACTCCCTAGGTAGTGGTAGACAAACACTGATGATACCACAAAAAAGTTACCCAAGCTCAAACTCTTTTAGGTAGAAATATATTTGTTTAGAAATGATGCTGTAGTAATGATGTTTAAAAAGGCATAAGGAATTTTAGATATGGTGGCTGCCTTTTTAACAACCAAAATGCATGTGGAGGGTAAAAAATGGGTGAAATAAATTGATTTGCACTTTCTCTTTTTCAGGATTTAGTCAAGCTTACCTGCTGCCTGAAGATCCTGAAATTTTAGGTGTCATTGCAAGTGGAATGAGCAGTCTGGATAAGAATAGTTTCAGTCAGAAAGCAGATTCAGATAAAACTTGTTTTATACATAGATTGGCAAGCAATCCAGAAGTGCTTGTGGTATTGTGCAAGTCAAATGTGGCCCCTGAGCAAGCATTTTCGTGGACGCAACAGGTACTGAGTCATTATCCTGTTCATGGATATTGAGCCAATAGAGAGAACTAGTAAATTGTATTCTCTTAAACCACCAAAAAATATGTCCACTCTTCATTAAAATAATTTGTGGTTCATGTCTTTGCTTTTTAGTTGTTTGAGAACATTGAGAGCGAAAATCTATATGTAACAGTGTTGTCATCCAGTCTAGTAACGGAGTACAAGAGCAGTAAACTGGTCTCGGAACTATCAACTCCATTCATACGTGCCCTTCGGTCTTCAGCGTACAAAGCGAAGCCACAGAGCCCATTCCTGGAAGCTCCAAATATGGTGAGCAGCTTACCAGCTGCAGGTATGTACAATTATTGTATTTATTTCCATCCAACACCGATATGATGCTAAGGCCACTGGAAAAACATTACATGATTCTCGTCAGCACTTCTCAAAAAGTTGGTGAGGGAACTTCCATCTTCAATCACAGTATGGGTCTAAAGATTGCATGTATATTTAAAATATGGATGCATGATTATACACACTCTGTGATCAATTCAACATGTTGCGACAGACACAATGATTTGAGTGCGTTTCACAGTGAGACGCATCAGATTTTCATGAAAATATAACAAAATTGAATCAATAGTATCGTCGTTTGCATTTTTATTATGCAAAATACTGTGGTACATCTGGAAGTACAAAAAAGTGAATCAAAATGAACCAATGATGGATACCAAAAACAGACTAATGTAGAAGAATCCCAGACCGTTGTACCTATATTTAAGGCTCTGAAAATACACATAGTTTAAGGAGTCAAACATAGCACACAGATATCATTTTAGTAAGTTCCAGTAAAACATGATCTTTACTGTAATATCTGACATCAAATGTATTAGGATATCGCATTTGAATGCTTGGTTGGTGGGAGTAATGACAATAAACAGAATATTTGTTGTTTCAGTCCTTAACCATTGTCAGGTGAACAGCATAGCAGCTGTACTGTACGTAGCTTTTGTTGACTCACCTCATGTGGATGTTGAATCCATGGAAGTTTTCAAACCAGTACTTGAAGCCACACCTGTCAAAGATCTCGTCCAGGTAGGAAAGTTTTTTCCCAAATATTCATTATTATTATTTTGTTTTTATTAAAAATGATTAATCATTGTGAATTATTATAATGCCATTTCCCTATGCTTAGATAGGTTTACTACAATTTTCTACTACTGTATATGTATGATCCTTAAGTCAGATTTTTCCAGGGTACCCTCTTGAAAGAAATTAATTACTAATATTTATGGTGAGCTAACAGAGGTATACGAAATTAAAAATCAATCACTTGTATTAATTAAAGCAGGCAATCCATAGAGGGCTTACCTCCACCCTATGCCTGAATAGCAAACAATTTGCAGGCCATATTTTTTTTATCTTCTTTTATGCTCAAGGGGACAAAAAAAAAAAAAAAAAAATTTTCCATGACCTTTTCTTAGATTATTATTTACCATTTCACTAGGGTAATTATGTTTGTTGTGACCAGTTAGATAGTCACCAAGTTATAAAGGGCTTTGTTTACCAATTATGTGTTCGCAGGAACATAGGAGGGACCAAAATATTATTTGAAAGAAATTACCACAGTTCAGCTCCCACAGTGGCTACATCAGAGTAGTCAATTGAGCTATGTTGCTGTTAGCACTTTGTTTAATACAAGTTGCATTTGTTTCCACAGCCCAGACCAGGTGCATCGAAACGACTTCAACAGTTTGTATCAGTACACCTGAATACAATAAACCTGTACACGTGACTGACCTTGTGTAGGACACTTTGAATCTCTTTCCCTCTGCCAATATGACAAGAGACTTCACTGCCCCTTCAATTAAAATACTCGGCCAACTGGACACAGCACAGGCAGGAAGAACAAAGTAGCAGAGAATCATCTTCACAATCACCTCATAAACAGACTTGGTATTAACTGTATTACATAGCTAGTCTTAACTCACTGCAAGCTTTAACAGTGTCTTTTTTCTGTGATACTACTGTATATTGTCATTCATCAATATTTTTGCCCCAGTAGGAAGTAACATTGGAAGAGTATAACCAAAATTATAACCAGCAAACTTATAAGGCAGCAGTATAGCAAAAGGTCAGGATTATGGACTGCAACCATCTAGACTGCCTCTAGCAACCTGCCCTTGGCTTATAGAGCAGAGAGTTCTAAATGCCCTACTTTACTTGTGGTTTTTCCTTGTGAAAATGCTTTTGAAATGGCACACTCAAAAGACTGATACTAAAAATAATTATGGATACTATCTGTGTGATTATTTTATGTTTATCAAACTAGGATATGTTTTTGTATTGGAAATAAATATAACTACAATTACATTACAATTTATTTTTGTTACTGTTCTACATTGTTGCATAGATCTGTATAAAGCTTGGTTTTGGTAATTGCTACATGTTATCGCCGGAAGCTTTCAGTGAAACTTGTAGTGCTGGCGCCAGTAAGGAATTTTCCCTCCCTTTGGACAGGCCTGGACCCCCTGTCTATAAAAATAATAATTTGCCTGCTAAGCCGTAAAAAAGCTGTGAGCCCTGCCAGGGATTTTTATTCAGAGCCGTCGACGGAGGCTCTAAATCGGCCCCTGGGTTTGGACCCCTCATTCGGAAATGTCGAACCCCCTGTCAGCAGATTTCTGGTGGAGCCTTCCCGATTGCATTGGGGGGGACCTTCCCAATTGTATTAGGTGACAGCCATGCAATGCAGTGATTGCAGTGAAAAACTACTGACAATGTAGTGATTTTATGGAAAGAAAACACTACACTTTACATCACCTCTATTTGGAAGCCATATTTAATTAAAATGTTCACATATTTCATACCCTATTTACAGTTAAATTATTTTACAGAAGAATACATACATTTTGAATAAGAGTTTGTTGAATATAATATATAAGTTTAAATACAGGTACTTGAATGCATCTATTTAACAATGTACATACAACAAAATATGATTTGGAATTTGGAATTGGTAAAAAGGTCATAAAATATTCACAATAAGAACAGACAATAGTCAAAATTAATGTTTTGTTACAGATGTTTAGTACCAATCCCCACAGAGCATGTATTATCTATACAAATACAACATTATGAAATACAGCACAGATCACATTGGCTAAAGCAGACAATTGAAGTGGAAGACTGATTAATCAGGCTGCAGTTTTCATTCTACTGTGTGTAGAACATTTTAAAAGCAACTACAAAGTACATGCAAGGGAGGGGGAGAGGGCTATGCCATGGGAATATAAGAGGAACTAATTGGAAAATGAGATAATATGAGGTCATTTTAACCATTTGTGCGTACAATTGCAATTTTATGGGGGGGGGGAGAGGGAATTTTTCCATGAAACATTTACCCCTCCCTATACCACTGAGTTTAATCTACCTATCTACTACAGTGTCACAGAAAGTCGAAGCTTATTTTTTTATTATTTTTTTTCTTTCGGCACATTTTTTGGTAATAATTTTGATCCTCCACAATAGCAATTTTTTGTTTATATTTTTTACAATTAAAAGTTATTAATATTGAAAGTAATGTTTGCTTGCTACATCAAATGTTATGTCAAGAATTGTATTCCGCCGCTTCATCTCCTCTGTTTTTTTTTGTGGAAGGCCTTATTTTTATTTTCCCCTTTGCATGTCTCCTGAATAAAGAATTGTGGAGTATTTGTTCAAATTTCAATTCACAAGGTATAATACCCAGAAATTTAAACATCTTGATGAGAAGTGAAATACTTTTGCATAGGCCTAGAAAACAACTATGTGTATGTTGTAGCCATCAAGAAAACAAAATAATATGACTTGTCCCTGGGCCATGGTTTCTATGCAAGTTAATATCAGTGGTAGCACTAGGATATTACATTTTCAAGGGGGAATCTGTTCAACAAAATGAAAAGAACTTGGATGAGAAACGTGTATTTTTTTTATTTGGACAGACCTGTTACTGCTCTCTTTCTTCAACAGCAGATCCATAGTGGAAGAAGAATGTTTCTCTCCCTCTCCACACATTTTGAATCTCAAATCTGTTATTTCCACAATGGGTATTAAAATCAAACATGGAAATTAAGAATTGTTTTCAGTCTTGTTGTAAACACTTTGTAGCAATGTGATTTTAGAGTTATGTAGCCCATTACTATAATTTTAAAAGTTTCATGTGTTTACTTTAAAAAAAAATTTAAAAAACATTTTCATGTATTTTTGTATTAAATTTGATTTTGAATTGATTTGTGGTTTTTTACCCTTGTAACCACTCCCTTTGTGGCTGTTACTCGTATTTTTTTAAATCCTGGATACATCAATATTTGTGCTAACAAAAGCCTAACAGGACATGCTCTACACAGCCAGATAAATATCTATCTATTTTTTTTTAAAGAGATAACGTCTGTCAAAACCTGAAAATCATTTATGAAAATGTATTGTCCCCTGAAAATGAAAAAAAAAAAAAAAAATTAACTTGCTGATTTTTCACCAGGCCTAATGTACAAATTATTAACTTGAGCATAGAAATTACTGAATTTTTTTAATGTCTACCCTTATTTTTTTATACTGGACAATGATGAATTGTAATAAAAACACTTCCAGTAATTGTAAGTGGTTGTAAATTGATGGGCAAATATTTTTTTAAATACACTAATGTCTATTTTCAGTTTGATAGTTTTATGTTACTTCAAAACAAGCAGGTTAATTAAAAAAATTATTTTATTATTTTTTTATTTTTTTTTATTTTTCATGGGACAATACATACATATAATAGCCTACATTAAATGACAATTTTGGTAAACTAGTTTACATTGCACACTTCCTTTATCTTAATACTATCATTGTCTATTTCACAGATGATTAGTAATTACTGAAAAAAATCAGCATTGTCATTTACAACCACACTCCAGAAGAACAAACCCATTAAAACAGGTAATTACAAGCAATAATTCATGGAACAGTTTAATATCAAGGCAATCAATCAAGTTTTAAAATGGAATTTACAAACATTATTTCATGGAACAGTTATATCAAGGTAACCAATTAAGTTCACCATTTAATCAAGGTACTTCATTACTTTATAAAGAATACAGACTATAAAATAACTTCTTCAAGATCGTCGTCAAAATCGTCAACTTCATTAACCGCTAGTTTGCCAATATATGGAGCTTTGCTACTGTTCTGACCAAATAAGGAGTTAACTTCTTGGGCCCTACGCCCTGTCTTTGCACCGGTTCCTTTACTGTTTTCAGCTTCACTGTCCCACGGGAAGGCAGCTTTATCCTTGACTGGTTTGGCCTTAGTTCCAAAGTTGAAAGCATCATCATTATCCGATGATGTGTTTGGTTTTTCCGTATCTCCTTTGCTGAATAGATTTGATAGGAGATCAGATTTCTTCTGATTTGCATGTCCGTTAGCGAGTGACTTGTCTTGCTTCTTGGAGCTGCTTCCCTTACTGAATGTGGGCGCGTAGCTTCCAAATGCTAGGTCTTCCTCATCGTTTGACGATGATCCCGTAGTGCCCAGTCCACGTGAAGGCAAACCATTGTGCAAATTCTCAACCGGGTTGGTAAACTTGTAGCTTTTACGACTTCGTCCAGAATCTGGTTTCTCGCTTTTCTGATCAATCTCTCGCATTTTAGCCAAGAGTTCTTCTTTCTTCCTTCTCGCATCTTCTTTCTCTTTATTCAATCTTTCTGTTTGTTCTGCAGCAAAAGACATTTAATATGTATTTTAATAAGTTGATTAAAAAAAATACATGTAACTTTTCATTTAATGTAAATCCACCAATATAAAGGCTGATACCACTATGATATATGGGTTACACTATACTCCACAATAATAGAATAGATGAAGATGAAAAAAATACAAAATATAGAATCAGATAAAACTGACGAAGCAGTGAAAATAAAGAACGCAAAGATACAGTTCAGTCATAACTAATTTAAGATTTAAATCTCACAATTAAGCTTTATATAATATTGAAGAAGATATGAAATTGGAAAACAAAATGGCGCATGCAATGTGACTATGTGATGAACCACTGTAGGGGCTTATATTTGCAGATTCCTCTTTAATATTAACAATTTATTACATTATTGCAACTGCAAGATGTTTTAGAATTATCTCTTGACATTCTCATAATTTGTATACTGAAAAGTACTGTATCTCTTTTGGAGATCCCCGTCTTTCTATTTCAAATAATTAAATTGAGGTCATACGCCAAAGTATATCTGTTATTTTACTGCATTGCTAACTAGTACTGTTATGCATATCAAATCTTGAAAAACTCACTGTCTTTCATGTTTAGTTTAATGTTTTTTTTTTCATTGTATGAATAGCATAACTTCCAACATTTTACGAGAAAATGCAAATTCAAATATATTGGTATTCAATCCAACCTTTATTACTGTTCAGCGTTAGTAATTAAATTTATTTATATTGTTGGGCTAAATATTAAGAAGTTCAGCTTGTTTTTAATGTCTTTTTCATAAATTTAAATCTTTTAAATCTAAATTGTCTTCATTAATATCAATATTAATTGTATGAGATTTGAAAATTTTTTGCCATTAAAAAAAAAAGTAATAATCGTAAAGTAGGTCGACCAGTAAGGCTTTTTCACCTTTATTTACTGATGTTGCATGGTTACCATTTGTCGGCAGAACAGTTGCATTGTGGGATGACTTTTTAGAAGGTTCACCAAAAACTTTGTTGCCTCCAAAACTCCTGTTATCTTTGTCAGCGCTTCCACTTCTCTCGTTTGAATATTTCTGCAGACCGCGTACGCTGTTCACAGCGTATTCGGCCTGTTTTGATTTTGGCTTGGAGCCAAAATATAGGATGTTGCCTTCGTCTTCAGAATCAGCACGTACAGTTGTAGGTAACGAGTTGGGCTTAAATGACTTTGCACCGCCTAGCGATAAAGTGCAGAAAAGTGAAGGGTGAAGCATGATAACGGAATGGAAGATAGCTAACACAAATGTTATTACTATCCATGCACTCAATATAATGTAATTATGTTATTCACTTCACATTCAAAACAGAGGAAAAGTGATTAGGAAAGGATATGTTAGCCACACACAGCTAAGACATTCAATTACAAAATTATATTATATAATATACATTATGAGGCAATGGAGATACAATATGACAAATGACAGGCAGGACACAACTGCTATAACTAAGTTATAAAATGTATATTCAACACAATGATTTCATGATTAAATTGATTAAACAATTGAATAATTAAATATCATAGACAGATGATGGTATATTAAATATTATTGTTGTCATCTTTTCAATTTCAATATCATTATCATTAACGTTAATATAGCCATTTTATGACGGCTGATTTTTAAAATCTTATTATCATTAGTATTCTATTTTTGTGCCTGGCCATTCGCCCTTTAGCTCGACCAGCCTTGCTGTGGCTAAGCATGAGCCCAAGTAGAAATTATTTTGTATTGCCTTTTCTCCGCTTTGGTGATATATTTAGATTGTATATTGATGATGATTGCATTTTGTTGTCCCTTCATGAAATAAATTAAAAATGGTTGAATACTTTAAGTTGTTATAAACATTTAAATTAATATAATTATTAGTTCAGGAACAATAAACCATACATAGCAAACCTTTAGGGTAAATAAAAATGTATTATCTTTACATTAAAAAGTAGACGTAAGTTGATAAAAAATATTATTGCACATTTACTGACTTTTTACTACAAAAAATCCTTACGTTACTGTATGAGCCAATTTAGTGCTTTATGCAAAGAATAGCAACAGTATTACTTTATGTATCTCTTATTAGCACAGAAAAATGTTATAATTAAGTTTTGCTAAAATAAACAATGCATTTATCAAGCATTCTTTCAGTTTATTTAAGCCAGAGGCAGTATATCCAAAACATATATGCATAGAAAAATAAATTTTAAAAAATAATTGTACTGAATTTAAATATTGAGAGAGATGTGTCTTATTTCCAAAGGATGTACAGTACTTTGAAAAAAATAAATAAATAAATAAAAATCAATAAAATGTAATATAAATAAAAAATGATCATACCTTTTGCCACTCTTTCTTTTTCCTGCAAAATAAATTAATAAAAAACATTATTACTTTAACAATTGAACAATAAGCAAATATGAAATTACATTTACTACTATAGCATGATCAATAGCAACAAATATTATTGATACAATTAAATAAAACAAATATGAAATGCATAAATAAATTATGATTATAATACAGCGGCATGCAAAACACACAAAATATTTGTAGGTACCATGTTTGAATTGGCATTGTTTGCTGTAAGACTACTAAACCAACATGGCTTATTCTCCGATTCCAAATTCTCTCGGTCCATAGGTTCTCTTGTGTGCTCTGGTTTTGAGAACGCATTATGGTGTTTTATGTTGTTTGCAGGTGGTTGGCTACCACCTGCGATTGGTGGCTTAGATAGTGCATTGCTACCAAGTGCTAAAGGCCTTGGCTTGGAATTATGGGCTGGCTCCTTACTAGAAGCAAACGTTGGAACATAACCCTGATAGAAATGAAACAGAGGAAAGTGCAAGTATGAAAAGAAAAGCAACAGTAGCAGTTTTAGTGAATCTACAATACAATTATATTTTACATTGATAAACAAATATTTGTGCAAATGACCAAGTAAATTAACATTATGTTTTAGCAATAACATATTGACAAAGTATGCAGTTAAGAACTTTGATCAAATATAATTTGTGAACAAAGGAACAAAGAATATGAATTGTGAAATACATTTCAAAATAATTTAACAATTACATCAAGTGTTTGTGAATACATTACAAAGCATATAGATACACAGATATTAAAGCATGATTAAATAAGTTGTGAAATAAATTTTAAAGCATACAGTAGGCAAGGAAGTAATTAAACTTTATGACATAAATAGTGCAAAATCGAAAATGGCATAATGATAGTTTTACTTTAAGAAAACACCAGAATAATAAATTGATAATAAACTTAAATTATAAATTTCATTATAATGAATACATAATGCTTTCAATAGATTATCTAACAAAACAATGAAATAAAATAAACAAAATAGGATAATTGTCAGAAAGTGCTCTGGTATATGTAGAGGACCTAGAAAGACCACAACAAAGATGGATGGAATGGGTTATTAAGATGGAATGGTGAAAAAGCAGATGTTAAGATTTCATGCCTCAATTTCTCACGAGCGATGTGCTTTTTGGGACCGAAAATTGAAGAAAGTGTTGTGTAATAATGGTAATCATGATAATGATAATAACAATGAACAATTTCAGGCAGATATGTTAGAAAATGTCTGTGTCTGGGTGGGTCTGCAGTGCATTAGTTGGGTTGGAGGACTTACATATTTGGGAAATTTCGCCAGAAAGGAGGGGGTTTCGCCAGAAAAGAGGGGGATTTGCTAGAAAAGGGGGGTTCTCCCGAACCATAAAAAACCCCCCTGGATACGGGCCTGAATTTATAATAGAATAAATAAAATGTCTCTATTTTAGTAAAATAGTGCTCAACAAATATTAATATTAGGTACTGTAGTATACAAGTAGGTATATTTATGTACAACGCACTACAGCATTACTGTAACTGCAACATGTGTCTAAAATGTATTTTATCATTATCTCTATGGCTACATATAAACAAAGGATTTGTATTGTAATAACCTCATCCATTTTTTATAATTAATATCAACTAACAAATTAATACTAAAATTATATTTTTGACTATTCAAGCTACTGTATACACAATGGCTATTTTGAATTCATTTTATAAGAAACATAATTGCTTTATGCTTGGTTGCTACGGAAACTATCATAAAAAAGTGTAAACACACAGTTACTCGGGGAATAATACACTAGAATGCAAATGAAAGGCGATAAGCCGTGGTGCATGGCCTTTGAACAAAGACCTGCAATCTATATTTTATTATTTATGAATCTATGATGGAACAGGAAAATTGATCTGTCTGTAACATTAACGACAATGGATATGATGTATCGACTGTCTTTATAACAAAAAGTATGGTAAATAGTGAACGAAACAGTCATGGTCACGAAAACACTTGGGCAATATAGAGCAAAGCTTGCAGCCAGACTCCGCAGGGAAAAAAAAAAGTTTAATATGTTGTACATGATTTTTCGAAACACCAAAAAAAAAAGCATAATTTGATGAAAAACTCAAAGGGCAGTTTGAGAAACAGATTTTTGAATATTTAAAAATGGGGGGGGGGGGGGGGGGGAAAAAGGGTGGTTACGCCTTTTTTCATCCTGCTTTTAAATATTCAAAAATATCTGTTCCAAGTTTTTCGTCATATATGCTTTTTGTATCTGAGAAATATCTGTTGTACAGTATATAATTTTTTTCCCCTCTGAAGCCTGGCTTTAAGTAGTAACTGTAATTTATGTTTTTAGGACAAGAGATTTTACTAATCTCAATACAACTAAAACATAGAGATGGAGGTGTGGATTGACATTATAGATGTTCACCTTTGAATCCAAGTTCCTAAGCCCAAACCCTGCAAAAATGCACAATAACTCTAATATTCCACAAGCATCATAAACATGGTAATGGTTATTTAAAGAGCATATTGTGGAATGCCAAATGATCTCCACTACATACTGTAAGCCCCATGAAGTTTTATACAGTATTTGCACTGATGGTTCCAGATATGATATGCATCTGAAATTGCAGGGGATTGGTGTAGTTGTATTCTGTGCTACAGTAGTTATAAAAAACAGTATTTGCTATTTCATTTCTAGGTTTTCATTTGTTTTGAATTAGAGAGCTCTAGTTTGCGCCAGGCAATTCAACAAAAGGACGCACATCTTTGTTCCCGAACACAGCGCATGCATACAGTTCTTTGATCTTTACTGTGACATCGACAATCCGATACTAGTTGCGAGTACAGCCGTCAATTATTAGTCTACGCATGCCATACATTTTATGGTGTTAGTTACTATTTTATTAATTTTGGGTACTTCATAATGTCTATTACAGTACATCTGATTTCTTTTGACCACGAGCTTGTTAAGTGCTTCTATAAACTGACCAACAAAATGAAAAGTTACAGCAAATGAAAATTTACTATTTTTATAAAAATTCATGTTCTTATTTAACATTAAACTGTCATTTTGACAATGTTGGACTAAGGTGCACCAAACAAACATTTGTTTTTTCTGCGATGTGAGTCTCATGAAACACCGGACACCACCCTTTTCGGTACAATTAATGTTGAAATAACAAATATAGTTTTAGTTTAATGTTAATGCCAAAATTCATTCGGTCTCTGTAACCACCACACAATGCACGATTACCATGGTAATCGACACACGCGTGGGTAATTCGTCACACGCTGATGGTTATGATTTGGTTGCTATGGTTTTTGTGACGATCAGAGATGTGCGTCCTTTTGTTGAATTGCTTTGGTTTGTGGTTAAAGACACAGGATGTATTTTAAATCAAATAGAGCCATCAGCGCATACAAAGATTTTGTGTTCTCATCTTCTGAATCTAGGATCATCTAGGAAATGTTTTGCCAAACATGCAGAACTGTCACAGATGAGTAAATTCTCCTTTTTCACTGTTGGCACGATGGAAATTTCCCTATTATTTCATGGCTGAACTTACGGACATTTCTGATCCTAATGTTTTCAAACGTGCACTCAAGACTCACTTGTTTGCCTTATACTTTATACCAATGATTACTGTATGTTTCTGAGTGTTGTGTCTGTTGTACGTGTTGGGATGTGCTTTAGTTGTTATGCTCGTGTTTAATGCTGTAGTACATGCTGCCTTGAGTTTTTCCCTGAAGAATGAAACTTGGCGTGTGCTTTACAACCGCGAGAAAAAGGTGCATTATAAATGCCCATAACCAGTACGGCTAACAGTTTCATAAATTAAAGTAAATTGTGCTCTGATCTTCAAGAAAAAGCACAATACAAATGCAGAAATGTATATGAATGCGCAACCGCTAGTAGCATAAGCCTTAAAAAGAGCCTACAGTAGCATCAAAGATCAGTTCTCCACTCTTCCTGCCACGTAAAGACACCTGGTTATATGCCACAAGATAATCATTTTGCTAATTTTATTTATAAATATTTCTGTAACATGGTGTAAATAATCAAACATTATATATTTAAGATAAATTAAGCATACCTTATTTGCTTCTTCATCCTCTTTAATCTTCTTCAAACGAAGTCGTTCCTCTTCCTTCCTTTTTAATCTCTCCTCTTCTTCCTTCTCCCTCAGCAACTGTTCTTCCTTTCTCTTCTCTTCTTGCTCATTTTTCAATCGTTCCTCTCGGCGTTGCTTAGCCAATGCTAAACCTTTCATTACATCGTCCCCTTCATCCTTATTCTCTTTCGCTTGAATCCCTAAATCTAACTGCTGTAAAATCAATTCATGTTCGTTAAGTTCTTTCTTTTCTTTTTCCACCACAACGGTCTTCTTCTCTGTGATCTGTTGACGGACTTCAGCAGATGATGTTCGTTTCGGTGTCCCAGGAGGATGCGGACTTTGAATCAAGCTGTCCGTTGTAGTTGATTTGTCGAGCATGATTCCTCTAGGGGACGTCGGTGACTTTGTTGATCTTAACTTTGTAGGTGGTTTAATGACTCGGTTACTGTAAATATTCCTGATATCAAGCTCTTTTTCCTTTTCCTGGTATAAAAACATACCAACATCTTTAAGAACTATTCATCAACATATTACTTTAATCTAATTGCATTTGAAAAATGAGGATAAACGTAGTGGCTATGTCTAAGCCGAATTATGCAAATCCCAACACGCTGATTGGTCGACTTGGCTTTACCCTAACCTTAAAACATAACTCTGCCTATCTTAATGTACTACAGCATGACGTAAGATCGCTTAGATGCAGCCACTTGGTTTAATAAAACCGGTCCAGTAGTTTGCCACTAGTAGCATATATTTTGGTTGCAAACAAGTTTTTAATCTAGAATTTGAAAGCAGTACCTATACCTGCCTACACCTACAGTATGGTTATGACTGTTAAAACAATCTATAAAAGACTCAATTATTCCAATATTGTTATTCATCAAAATTATAAAACCATTAATATTAAATTTGTTTTTTGCAACATAAATTTTAAAACTGAAATCAAGTATAGTATTCATAATATCATTAAACAGAAACATTTACGCTATCTATAAATAAACTTTGTTGTTGAAAGTACCAAATGAAAAAAAGTATTATTTTACCCTGAGTTGTACTAGTATTCGTTCATTTTCCATCTGGAGCGCTGAAATTTGACCCTTCAGATCATGTTCTTTATTCTTGACATCATTGAATTGATGACTTTGATTTTTCCGAATGTTCTCAACGTAACGTTCCAAATCCTGATAGACAATTTGAGAAAATCAGTAAATGTCACTCTATACCTTATACATTACCTTGTGATACGATTATTAAAACAGTTTCCTATTTGAGCACTGTTAGTAATTGTTTATCTATTTGTTTATGTTGTTTACAGTGTTACGTAGCAACCTTGGCTTGATTTGTTATTATTTGTTTTATTTATGAATGCCCTGGTCCTTGTACCTACTGTATACCTTGGCAACAATATTGCCATGCTCATAATCTTTGTTCATCTGGTTCCTTTTACCTTCATATACCTTGGTCTAAAAGAAAGCTGGTGATAGGCCCTTTCGATGGCTTCACTAGGCTTTGGAATAGTCTTCCCCGCAAATTACGAAATAGTTCTTGTTAACTTTGTTTTCATGGCTTCTTAAGAAAAATGTTTGTTCAATAAGTAGATCTTGCTGAACTGTCAAATTTTCCTGTTTTTGTCTGGTGTTTGTTTTGGTAGTGTTTTGGCTGGTGTTAGTGTGTGATTTTTTTTATCGTTTTCTTTTGTACAGTATTTAATGTTTTATTTTTTGTCATACTGTTTTTCACAAGTTGTCTTTTTAAATGTTTTATGAAATATCGTGTATGCCAAAAAAATTTTTAAAAATCATATATTATACTGTAAATTAGAAATCAAATAAATAAGTGTGTGGATGGAGACCAAAATAAGTTGTACAAACTTTAAGTAATGGCCACCGGTTAAAATTAGAAAAATGAAATTAGATTTGGTGACGAACAAATAACTATATATGTGAATAATCACATATAAAAAAATTAAATATAAAAGAGCACAATGATGAAAGGTGTACACTTACTATTATTCTTTTTTCCTTATCACTGAGTTGTTCTGATTGTATAGATAACTTCTGCTGTAAAGCGTCCCTTTCTAGTAGATGTTTATCGCCTGCTAGCTTCTTCATTTTCTTCATTTCTTTTTGTAACCTACATAATTCATCATGCTGTTCTTGCAACTGTTTATCTTTACTCCTATCTTTTTCTTTATATTTCCTCACACGCTGGTGTAGAGAATCAAGTTCTGCACTATGATTTCTTAATAGCTCGGGGAGTTCACTCTCCTCACCTTCGAACTTATTCAACGCACGTTCCTGTTTTCTTTGGAGCTGTTTTAAAAGTCTAATCTCACGTACTGATTCCTCGTATTTTATTTTGATTTCCTCATTTTCACTTCTCAGACGATTGATCGTATGTCCTTTCGCTGACAGCATTCGTTTCGTTACTTCCGTTGCGTTACGAGGCGTCACGTTACCTTGTATACTGCTGGCACGTCCTTTGCTTTGACCTTTTTTGGTGGTTTTACGTTTAACTACGAAAAATAGACACAAATATATTATAATCATTTTTCTGAGTAAATGTTTTGAAAATAATGACAACACCTACCATAGTAACAATACAAACTACAACAAAACTGGCTGACAAGATTAAGAAAGATGTTTAACTAAAAAAGCAGAGACGAACATTCTTATAATATTTTTTCTGATTAAAATGTGTGAGAATAATGACAACAGTTACCATGGTAGCAATAAACTACACTACTGTATCAGCTGACAAGATTAAGAACATGATTTACAAACATTTTAGATGAAAATTATTTAAATTTGAAAGCTAAACACTAAATACAAATGACACTGGATTGAAATTATGAAATGGTGATAAAAGTTACTTAGAAGTGTTAATGATACTAGGTAAAATGGGGTTTTGTTTTAAATGATGGGGGCACAAATGGAATTTTTTTTAAAAGGAGGCTGAAAAGGGAGGTAAATAAAGGAGATTTAAAGGAAGCTAATATTACTATAAAAAGGTCAATTCCAAAAAAGCATGGATGTTACAAATTATAATATTAACAACAGCCAACCATATTTAGTTTAAGAAGTAAGCATACTTCAGGGATTAAAGCTCAAAACAAAGGTCAGACACATAGAGGCTTTATGCACTCTATAAATCCATACTTATTATTTATTATTTATTTTATTCAAAGATTTAAATACATAGCCTACTGATGGTGCCACAAATTAAGGATATTTTTGTAAGAACAACAGTTGAATAATATTTGTGTGATCTTTGATTCTATTTTAACATAAATCATTCGCCAAACCAAAATACAAATTACCACCACACTTAAAATACCGTCACAACTTTGCAAAATGGCCAAACTGATTGAATTTTATAAGTAACATGAAAATATCTTAAATGGTTTTCATGCATAAAAACATACAACGAAAAAAATCTGGTTATTTAGCAGTTGAATTAGAAACATTTACTGTAGGCCCTACTGTCAGAACAGGAACAAAATTACACCAAAAATACAAATATTAATGAAATACAAATGATTAATGAAATACAAAAAAATACTAAAATACAAATAATTAATCAATATTTAAAACACATATAATTACCATATTTAAACAATCAGTTTGTTGTAGTTCCACAAAGAAATGATGAACATTTCAAGAAAAAAAAAGAAAAAAAATATAGTTGATACAGTAAACTCTAAAACAAATTATAATTTCAATGGAAAAAAAGCAATTTAAATTAAATAAATCATAAATTTTAAGGAAAAGTAAAGTAAAGCAAGGAAATGAGATTGCCCCTAATTATATGCCAATTAAATTGAAAGAGAAAATGGTGAATCTAAACCCTGATAAAAGAATTTCCTATAAACCTGCATGATGTATGGATTGGATTAGAGAATAAAGGACTGAGTGTAACAGTAACTACTGCCTAAAAATACCTGCAACGAGACAAACAGTATATATTTAGCCATACAGTACCTGTATACGTTCTGCGTGTCTTTCCATAGCCACTGCTTGTAGCATTTGTGATTCTACTATCTCTGCTATAGTTACTACTTGTACGTTTATGAACTGTTGCCTTGCTTTTCCTTGATACATTTTTAGTGCGCCTAGCGGAAGATGGTCGTGAGTCTTGCGCGGAGTCTTCTGAATCAAAAGAATCAGAGTAAGAGTTCCGGTCACGTGGTGACACGGACCTTGGTGACCGACTTCCTGATCTTGAATCGGAATAGTAACTTCTTGATCCTTTACTTTTTGACATGTTAAGTGGTGAATGAATTGGTGAATTGATCAAAGTTTTCTCTCTCACTGGAGAGGCAACAGTTGTATATTCTCCTTTTAATACTGGTGAATCATGGGGCTCCTCATCAAAGAATGTATCCACCCCTCCATATTTAGTCATTCTCATCTAAAATTAGCTTATTTTGTTTCTGAAGGGAAAAAAACATAAGATTTGAAAGCAATTACATGACACTGACATAACAACATAAAACAAATATTTTTACAAAGGCCTAGAGTGTGAGTTTACAAAGAATACTCTATTTAAAAACCAGTGTGAGTGAATTCTGTATGAATGAGTAGCAATTATTTGTTGTTTGCAAGTTTTGCATGACAAACTTTCAAATGTTATTACCCTCCAATCCAAAGGGAGGTGAAGGGTATTGCAATAGCGCATCTGTGTGTGTGTCTATGGTGTGTGTGTGTGTGTGTGTGTGTCGGGGCACATAACTCGAAAACTACTGGACCGATTTACTTCAAATTTTTACACATTGACAATATTACATGTATCTCAGTCCTCGAATTTGGTGCTGATTATTTGGCTTGGCCAAGCCAACTCGAGCGGATCAACTGAGGACCAACTCAAGTGTATTGACCATGTGCCAAATTCTGGCTGGCTGATTAGAAGCAGTCCCGATGGCTTGTAAACTCACTTGATTGATGCCAAGGACAATGATACGATGCTAGGCCTTGTTTGGTGGATGGAATGGATTGACCGTGCCGTGGGCCATTATTTTTTCACTATAAACATGGCAAAACTTGGAAAGGGTTTGTAATCTCAGATTATCTTGTTTAATGTTGTTTATAATTTAATGTTGTTGAGAAATAATTCATTTTGTTTAAAATCCATACAAAGAATACCATATATATCGGCATCAATCACAATAATTTTTAGTTCTAAATATAATAAAGTGCATTCGCGTAACCACGACAACCTAATCTAGCACACAAATAAAAAATTAATACAGAACCTAAGCTTAGCCTAGCCTACGTTGTTACGAAGGTTTGGATTTCGACGGCTCAAGCACGTTTGATTACCTCATCTGTATGTGGGCCTACCTCCACGGTAGAGATGGCTCCTAAAACAGACTTCACACTCACACATGTCACAGTCAGCCAGGCCAGGCCTAGCTAGAGGAAGATGCATTAAAACAAATTCTTTAGCATAAAGTAAGTTAAAATTGAAGCAATAATAATATTTAAAACAAACCTTATGTTACTGAGGAACAGTTTTGCTAAATACATTGCTCTGATAAAGTCATAAATCACTGCAATTTATTAGAAAATTAAAGCACCGCATCACGATCCCCGAAACTCCATTGTTTACTTGCTATGGTGATCTTGTTTATGGTGACCTTGTTTATGGTGACCTTCATGATTTTGGATGAGATAGGTGACGTCATTTATAGAGGGCGTAAACTCTTCTCTAGCTAGTTTTTCATCGACGAGACGGGACCCGTTCTATTCCGAGTTTCCGAGTCATCTTACAATATATCTTGGAAACATGGAATAAAGCTCTTATTAAGTCTGTTCAAACCTGATGTCAAATCAAAAGTATTGTTGTATTGAAATGTTTATTATTTTTATGTTTATTTTTATTATTGTTGTAGTTTAATGGAATTTTTCGACTCTTATTAACTGTTTTCATTTTTTTCTCGTCTTGTTAAGGCTCGTTCCGCAACTGTCAACATTTTCACAAACGTACAACCATACTGTTCTCTGTTACCCCTCCCTTGATATTAATATTGCAAAACAACTAACTACTGTAAATTACAGTAAATTATACCATGATAAATTATAAAAATTTAAATTAAATTAAAAATGAATTTTAAAAAAATTGACAAAAATTATTGGATCAAGAAGACGTAGCAATATTCAGTATTATGCCTTTGAATTCTTTTATTATATGACATTACTTATTTGACTTACTGGGCTTCACATGATTGATTATCTAAACATACCTACACACAGCCTCGCGAAGGGCCGCCGAATGCGGTCTTTTTGCGAGTATAAAAGCAATAAGCTTATAGAATACGCGAATGTTTTTTCACGTAGGATAGTTTGTTAAAATCTCATTTACTTTACTGCCAGTCTGAAAATACAACTATCCTACGTTTAAAATAATCGCTACACGCGTACATTACCGTATTGGTTTTGATAAAACGCCAGTATCCATCACAGAACCGGAGTAAAAATCACTGCATGTTTAGAGATGTTAAAAAAGAGCGTTAAGTAACGATATCTAAAACCCAAATTCATCACAAAAATTAATTTTACACTCTGCATCAGCACATTCACCCAACTAGACACTTGAATGAACAAAACAGCACAACACCAAACTGTGTAATTGTCATTTATTACTAAAATGACAAGCAGACTCGGATTCTGTTTTTGTTGGGAAGGAAAAATATACTCATTGACGACACCACTTTCTTCAGTTCAGTTGCTCATGTTCTTAATTTTCCAAAAACTCAATGCTCAGTTTACAGGTTTCCGATGTCCATCCTTCACTCACAGTTGTCATCCTTTTTCTTATTTTAACCCAATTGACTTCTTTGATGTTCCAACAATGCTTAGTTCTTTAGAAAATCTATTTGCAAGTTATTGCATCCATCTTTCACCTTATGACATCATATTATTATTCTCTCGATACGCTACGCTGTCGTCATATTATTTTGGTTTGGGTCTTTTTCTTCCGTATATACAATTTATCCACGTTTATAAATCTCTTTGCATAATCAATATGTCTGCATAGTTAGATAAAACCATTTCCACACCTGACATCAACTTGTTATATTTTAGTTATCTTGTGTTATTATCATTGGCAGTGTTTAAACTGATACCCACAATTGTGATAACTTTATATCCAAAAATAATGACGATGGCGTATGTTCCATTGTTTTTTTGTTAATAATAATTAATATTCACATATTAATTGATTATCCGAACAAAAATATTAATGATTTCTGATTGCTTCTTTTGTTTTAACAATTAACGTTAAGTTTATAGATGGCTTGTAAGTTCCTCTCTCAGAAGCTTCTACTTCATGTTATCATTCTGTCATATTCCAAGTATTTTGTCTTTTAAAAAAATAGTTCTCACAATAAAATTGTGGTATATAAGTTTCTCTCTATCCACTTCTGCGTCATGCCATTCTTTCATATCCCATGACGTCTTTAAATTTTTGTTTTTTGTTTTTTGTTTTTATTTCAAAATAAATATAACCCATCCATTGTTATAAAATATTTATCGCTTTGTGTCTATATAAATTTCTCGATTACTATTTTGGTCTGATGATACACAATTGTGGAAGTTATCGGTGATAATTAAGTTCATGTCCCTTTAAATGTTAGATGATTCTAGCTTCCCACTATTTGGCTGTTAATGCCAGACTAAAATGTTAAGTCCAGGTACGATGTGATATCCTGAACACATTCAATGTCTTCAAGTACTTCATTGAGCGATGGTCTTGTGTTTGGATCATAAGCACGGCATTTGTCTGCAATTTTACCCAACGCAACAAGTTTACTAAAGTTTGCGATGGATTTGATGACTGTGCCCAGAGCGAAGATGTCCGTCTCAACTGACGGTAAAGCACCAGCCAAGAGCTCGGGAGCAATCTCTGGATTATTCTGCATGCATCGTTGCATTTCGAAATCACTGAGGTAGTTAAGGTTGCGGCTAATTGGGGCGTCTATGGCACAGACCAGTCCAAAATCTACGATTTTTGCTTGTAACACACCAGAGTATGTGTGACACAACATTATGTTTCTACCAGCAATGTCATTGTGCAAGAGACCGTAAGTATGGAGCAGCTTCAGTCCGCGTGTAATTTCTTCTACAATATCAACAAACTGAATAGGAGAAAGAGCGATGACATTACTGGCGTAATTTTTACACAGCTTTTCTACGGACACTGTTTCCAAGCCTTGGAAGATGCTGACAAACTCCATCACTATGCTAAAGCCTTTCGGTTGAACAAAATCCTCAAATACTCCATAGATATCAGGATAATAGTGGAATGATTGCAACATTGACATAACCCGTGCTTCTGTAAGAATCTTATCTCGCTCCCATTCGTTGTTTATATGACGAAATGGGATGTGTTTGACAGCGACCAGTGCTCTAGGATCATCCCGACGACAAGCAAGAACCACAGATCCGAATGCTCCTCTGCCGAGGATTATAGGATCTTTGGTGGCTGCGTCTAAAACTGGCTCGAGGTCGTAAGGTTGGAGGATGTTCATATCAAATGGCAATATCTGATTCAACCTTCCTAGGGCTCTTAGGATGGAAACTGAATTACTTTCTTTGCATTCCCTTTGGTTGTCAACCTGTGGTTTCCTTGAGTTAGGTTCTCCAAGCTGTGAAGCGTTTTCAATCGGTAAGTTGTTAGCAGCAGCTATTTTATCAACATTTCTTTCTTCCTTACTGACTTCCATTCCAGCCTCATCCTGTCCATTGTTATTAGCAGCTGCTTTATCAACACTTCTTTCCTTCATACCGGCTTCCAATTCGGTCTTAACTTCTCCAATGTTTGGAACAGAGGAATCTCCGGCTCCATTAGCGGCAGGAGCGACTTTATTTTTGGAGAATAAGAAAGGTAAAAATCGTCCAAAGACACGGCGAACTGTGCTAACTTTGACTGGGCCTGGTACTTGCGTTGATTGATCAACATATGATTTCACGTTAATCCTACAAAGACAATGATCATGACATCATTTAATATCTAGTTCAGCAACATAAGCTTTGCAGAGAGTATTATATATATTTAAATATATTTATAATAATAAATATATATAATTCCTTGTGATAAACCAATTATTACTAATTGTTTTTGTTGTTGTTTCACCTGGGTATTATATTGCTATTTGAAACCAGATGAAACTATTTACCCATATTTATAATGATAATAGTTATTGGTGTTGTTATTAACATTTTTATTTATTTACCCGAAATTCTATAGCAACGAAAGTTGCCAATTACAGAAAAAACAGAAATAAACTACATAGATATATAAGATATAAGCAGGTACATAAATAGAGTAACAGCCAAAATAAGAGTTTCATCGGACTGACTTAATGAATTATAAATATTAGGTAATCGAGTTTGAAACAGTAATCATCCTTAATATTATCACTAACATTACCGATCATTATTAGTAATGTAATAATAATAATTATTATTTAAATTATTTATCATAATATTGGCCTATATACGTAAAGATCTATGCTCAAAATGACTGTTTGAAAATACACATTGGCATTTTGTATTATTTTACGCTTATGCCATTTATATTTCTGTTTGTTCATTGCTTATGCATGATTTTATTAAACATGATACAATAATTGTAATAATAATAATAATAATAATAATAAAATAATAATAATAATAATGATAATAATGATAATAATAATAATAATAATAATAATAATAATAATAATAATAATAATAATAATAATAATAATAATAATAATAATAATAATAATATAGTTTGCTATTTAGAACATCAACACAAATAAATGAATTATTAACTGATGGCGTTGCTCGTGCTTACCTGTTACCTTTAACATGATGATTTCTTCTTCCGAAAGTAAGATTGCGCATCTCCAGTTTGCGAAACCAAGAACGGCGAGGCATGTCTGGACGACAACAAAACATATAAACACAAATGAGTTAATGGAAGGAAGTGTGGTATATTACACACACACAAACACACACACACACACACACCCACACCCACACACACGTAATTAAACAACAGGTAAACAAAGAAATACCAAGTTTTGTTTCTCTTTTAGTGTCAAATATTCTGTCAAAGAATGGCTAATAATAATAATAATAATAATGATAATAATAATAATAAATAATTAATAATAATTAATAATAATTAATAATAATAATAATAATAATAATAATAATAATAATAATAATAATAATAATAATAATAATAATAGATAAAGATTGTAGCCATGCATGGAATAAAGCATTTCTTATACCTGAAATTATCATTTACTTTAAATTCATCACGTTCTCTAAAATTACATTTACTAACGAATAATGCGGTACTGCGTATAACTTCTGTATTGTATTGTATTGTATTGTAGTTATCATGGTCATTTTTGACGAAAAAAATACTAGCTTTCGTATTGGTCGCAAGAGGCACGTGATGATATTGCCATAACAAACTATGCACGCGCACCAATGAATGCGCGCTCTGAAGTAACGTATTACGCGTAGTTTATACGCGCTTTCTATCTTGATAATTTTCAAATGACGTAAATGATTTTTTTCAGTTGAACACACCTATTAGTCCACCGGAAATTCGGATTTGACTGGACAAAATTGCAACAAA